TAGGCCAATACCGTAATGAATATACGCTTATTATTGAACAGATGAATAAATAGATGTTTAATCTGAGAATTATTAATTATTTGCATTATAATTATTACTATATAACTAAAATGGCGCTTTAAAATTATTTTAACTATATACTTATATTTTAGCATTATTTTGCTCGTGGCCGGCGGATAGTCTACGTCCGGTTCTAAGATGCAATCTATGTCCTGCCTATAGAAAACTGTTTAAGGGTTAAAAGGTAACAGCCAGAGTAACATTCACATTTATAATCTAATATGTAAATATCTCGTGTCACGGTGTTTGTGGTCGCACTCCTCCGAAGCGGCTCGACCGACTTTAATGTTTTTTTTCTGTTCATTTGGTAGGTCGTAAAGTGTTTTTCACCCTCCTACCCCCACCCCCCCATTTTTTATCGCAATTTTAGTATTTTTTGTATGAACAATATTATATAAATACATAGCGACGAACCCGAGCGAAGCGAGGGTGAGTCGCTGTATAACATAAAGCCAAAGAAGTTTGTTATGTAGATTGAACACGAGCGTAGCTGCGTGTTCTGCTAGTTATTATTATTATATGTAAATGTAATTATTATTTGAAATATACAGTATCGTCTATTCATAAAAAAATATCCAAAAGAATTCTTTAATAATTGCCAAAGATTTCTCGTTATTGAGTAATTGTATTGTCATCCGTATTTTTTATGCTTGCAAAGTTTCCAAATCCCATAATAAATAATAAGCTAATAAAAGATCATAAAAAATAACTTACTTTAATTAAACCAATTATTTTTTTCTTTAATATATCATCAGCTAAAGATAACGCCCTAAAGAAAAGGCCTATACATAAATAATCTGACCCAAAGTCTTCCAATGATCGAGATTCGAGTCCTCAAAATCGAAGGTTAATTCAACCATTCTAACATCCCACTATGGGATTTGATCTCCCATCAATGGGATGGATAAAGGGATGTAAGCCATAGAGTACAAAGGTAGCAGGAATTTCAAATTTTATTCATAATTAATCAATGATGCCAACCTTAATTAATTTACCGCTTTAACCCAGCGAGTTTGTTTGTATTTTAATAACAGAAATTGTTAACGATTTTCAATCAATTACTCTCATCGTAACATAAACAATATCTTAAGCTATCGATGTGTAAATATTTAAACGAAAGAGCTTTTGTATGATTATATATCTGTCGATTATATTATTATTAAACTAGCGACTCACTCTCGGTTCGCTCGGGTTCGTCCCTAGTTACGTTTTAACGTTTAGTATAGATTTCTCAGAGACAAAATATTTTCCCGCAGTAAAAAGTATCCTATATGTTGTCCCAGATAACCCGCTATCATGATACCAAATTTCCATCAAAATCTGTCTAGTGGTTTTTCCGTGATGCGGTCATAGACAGACAGACAGACAAACTAGTATATAATTTTAAATATAGTAAGTATTGATAATAATAAATATTTCAAAATGATTTTCCAAAATAATATTTAATGTGCAGATTCGGCTTAGTTAGAATTTTATTATATGTATAGATCTACACTTAACTCAATCCTCCATTCTTTCATCATTTATAAACCTAAAAAAAACCCTACAATGAATCTAATGCAAATCTTGTACCGTCTTTCTCTGAATGCTCATCAAGTTAAATAAATGATACAAATAGCGTGACTTAAAGCAGTTTATGGTTTATGAAACACGCGTATTTACATGTTTATTGTATTGTAAGGCGTTGGACTCTCAGTCATTAGGCTTTGTTTAACTAAAATAATAATTGTTGCGAAATTAAATATTATTTAATCTATTATAACCGGGTCTCTGATATTTCTATGCGAATCATTTGCAAGAACATCCTTATTACAACATGTCTTACGGTGAAGGAAAACATCGTGAGGAAACCTACAGTCTGAGAGGACCAAAAAGTTTTCGAAAGATGTGTGCAGTCCGCGTTATGTTATGGCCTGATCCCCCTCTTATTGAAGGGAGGCCTGTGCCCAAAAGTGGAATATTATACAAAAAATACTTAGTCACAAAAAAATATAATGTATTTATAAAAGCCTTTTGGCTTATTCGATATTAATTAAAATAACGGTGATTATGTCATCAGCTTCATAGACCTATGAATATTATAACGAAATCATTTTTAGTTTAAACACTCATTATTAGTTATTTGTGGGATAATCTGTGGTAAAAATTAAATATAGTAGCTAATTAACGAGTGCTTACAGTAAATATGATGTTATTACATTGTTTATTTTAATCCTGTCCTGTCGTCCTGGGTATGACGTTAAACTGCCTTGCATTCGACAAGTACAATCGAATGTAGTGTAGCGGTTCTCTCCCGCACCGTACAAAAAGTCTACTGCGGCAAGGAAGACATCCCATAGCAGATATGTGGCGGGTTTGGCGGACTTGGCGCAGCAGCGAGGCAATGGTGGAAGGCCAAGGGCGGCGGTAGAGAGCGTATTTAGTTACCGTCGGCTGGACACATCATCCGAACTCTCCTCTGGTCGTAGCGATTTTCCGTTCCACTGGGTATAGGGGAGTAAGGACGAGTGTGTGCATCAGTATTTGCGCGAATACTTGTGCACCTTAATATTTCCTGCGCACCGGACTGCTTCTGAATAATGGACTCAGAGATAGAAAAGTCCTATGGCGATGGGTTGAGGTAGAAAGGTCTAGGTTGATGCGAACTAGGCTTTGTCTGATGCCTGCACATAGGCGGCCCCGAGGGTATATGAATATATGCCATGGTCGCTTTCGTTCTGCCTCGGGGTAACAGAATGGATTCGGCAACACTCAGGGTGACAAAGCAGCCCTATTTAGGGAGGCACTGCTTTCCCTGCTCAGCCAGGGAGGGGGCTAGAAAAGGTGTCCTAAAAAAATGCTTACCCCAACCTGGAAGATGGTAGTAACCACGGCTGCCTCTGCATCTATTTTCACGTGGTCGACGCAACAAAGGAGAAATGAAAAATAACCACTCAAAAAGACAAACCACTGCTATGACGTTTGGCGCGTGGAACGTGCGGACGCTTCTAGATAGTGAAGCTAATATATGTCCCGAGCGGAAAACTGCTATAATAGCTCGAGAGTTGGGTCGTTATAATATAGATGTAGCCGCTCTTAGCGAAACACATCTTCCCGATGAAGGTGAGCTAGTGGAATGCGGAGGTGGATATACATTCCTTTGGAAAGGTACCTCTGCTTCTGAGGCACGGCGGTCAGGTGTTGGCTTTGCTATCAAAAACCAGCTTATGAGGCGTCTTCTGGAACATCCTGTGCATATTTCTGATCGCGTAACCACACTGCGCTTACACTTGAACAAAGGCAATTACCTTAACGTCATCAGTGTCTATGCTCCGACGCTGGATAAACCTGATGACGTTAAGGATAAGTTTTATGAGGAATTGACACATTATCTCGAAAGTGTACCTCCCGGCGAGCAAATTTTATTACTGGGAGATTTTAATGCCAGGGTCGGCCGGGACTATGAATGTTGGCCTAAAGTCTTAGGAAGGCACGGAATTGGCAACATAAACAGCAACGGCCGGTTATTGCTTAGTCTATGTGCTCAATTCAATCTTGCTATTACAAACACCATGTTTCGACTACGAGCCAAATACAAGACCACATGGATGCACCCGCGATCAAAACACTGGCATTTAATTGACTACGCAATCGTCCGCCAAAGAGATATTTCACAAGTTCAGATAACCCGCGTAATGCGCGGAGCACATTGTTGGACTAACCACCAACTAGTCCTTACCAAATTGAATCTCTGTTTACGTCGTCCTCGGAGGTCAGGTATAAAAAAGCCGCCATGCATTCACATAAAAAGGCTTCAGAATCTAGAGACTAGATAATTATTTACTGAAACCTTGGCTAGTACGCTTCCATATCTAGAAAAGGAGACAGTAGATGTTGATGCTAAGTGGGGAGTTTTAGCTTCTCATATTCTAGAAACAGCCAAAAATATTTTAGGCTTTAAATTACAAAACAAAGAGGATTGGTTTGATGAGAATGACGAAATTCTCATGGATGCCTTAAATAACCATCATACCCTTCTTAGACAAAATAGCGGAAAAAAGCGAGGTGTAAGTATTGCAGAGATTAGACAGAGTGACTACAAGTTACGGAAGCTGGCTAGGGAATTAAAAAATCGATGGTGGCAAGAAAAAGCCGTACAGATGCAGTGGCTTGCTAATAGTAACCAGCTCGGTGAATTTTACAGAGAGGTGCGAAAACTAATTGGCACTAAATCTCCATCTAAGGTACCTTTGAAGTCTATGGACGGAAAAGATCTTTTGAAATCCAAAGAAGCAATATTAAAGCGTTGGGCAGAACACTTTAACACATTGCTGAATGTGGATCGATCTGTTGACCTACATCACATCAAGTCCTTGCCTCAATTGTCAATAGCAAAGGAGCTGGACGAGCCACTGACGCGTCATGAGATTGTCCTTGCCATTAAACAGCAACAAAATAAGCGCGCTACTGGCATTGATTCTATACCGGGTGAACTCATCAAATATGGTGGCGAGGAGTTGCATTCAGCTATTTGGGAAATTTTCACACTTATGTGGGAATTAGAGCGTGTGCCAATAGATTTTAAAGTCTCCCGCATCAGTACCCTATACAAAAATAAGGGTGACCGCTCCGACTGCAACTCCTACCGCGGTATTTCACTTCTATCGGTCCCTGGAAAATTTTTTGCCAGAATTCTACTAAATCGCTTAATACCACTTTCTGAAAAGATTTTGCCAGAGACCCAATTTGGCTTCCGACCTGGCCGAGGTACCTGTGAGGCAATCTTCTCATTGCGTCAACTGCAGGAGAAAAGTAGAGAACAGGGGCGACAGCTATACTTTTGCTTTATTGATCTTGAGAAGGCTTTCGACAGCGTGCCTCGTGAAGCTCTTTGGATTGTACTAGAAAAACTGGGATGTACAAAAAAGTTTATTAGGCTGTTAAGACTTCTGCACGACGGCATGGAGTGCTGCGTCGCAATCAATGGTGATCAGTCACAATTCTTTCCCGTTACATGTGGAGTGAAGCAAGGATGTGTTCTGGCACCTACACTGTTCGCGTTATATTTTGCTGTTGTTGTGCGTGAGAGCGTGCAGTTATCATCTGAAGGAGTTCGCATCCGCTTTCGCACAGACGGCAATCTTTTTAATCTAGCCAGATTAAAAGCTCGCACTAAAGTATCTCATGCACTTGTATCTGAAATCATGTATGCAGATGATTTGTGTTTCGTGGCGGAAACCCCAGACGGTCTACAGCAACTAATTTATGATTTCTATCATACTTGCCTTAAATTCGGGCTAAAGATCAGTGTCAAGAAGACGGAAGTAATGTCCATGGACAGTCACGGTCGTGAGACGCTGGCCATTAATCTCGGAGAGGATTTGCTAATGCAGACTGATAAATTCTGCTACCTGGGGAGCACTATAACAACTAAGTGTGACCTTGACGCTGAAATCAGTAGAAGAATCTGTGCTGCTGCAGCAGCATTCGGCAAGCTAGATCCCAAGGTCTTCCGCTCGCACGACCTAAAACTAGCTACAAAAGTCTCTGTGTACATGGCAATAGTACTACCTAACATCTTGTACGCTGCTGAGACGTGGACTGTATACCGTCGGCATATCCGTACACTAGATCAGTTCCACCTTAAGTGCCTACGGAAAATACTTAACATTCGATGGTCTGATCGTGTACGAAACACTGAAGTACTGCGACGAGCCAATGTTCATGGCATTGAAGCCTATCTTATGCGTCGGCAGCTTCAATGGTGCGGTCACGTGTCACGTATGGCAGAGGAGCGACTGGCTAAGCGTATCCTTTATTCCGAGCTGCAAGAGGGTAAGCGAAAGCAGGGTGGTCAGATGCTTCGATATAAAGATGTACTTAAGCGTCACATGAAAAAGTGTGGCATTGAACATTCAGAATGGGAGAAGCACGCAGCTTTACGTTCGAACTGGAGAGCTCAAGTGAAGAAGAAAACTCTTAATTTTGAGGAGCGACGTCGGTTCGAGCTTGATACCAGACGCGATTATCTGAAAGCCCGACCATCTGTGGCGATCAGATACAATATTCATAATGGTGTGCTCACATGTCCACAGTGTATGCGGACCTTCTCAAAGAAGATTGGCTACTATAGCCATATGAGAGCACATGAGCGACAAATGTCGCTCCAAAGCTGAAGCAGTCGCCAAGATCGAAATCGGTCGGGAGAGTTCATATTTTAATAAATCAAATTATATTACAAACAGACTATAAAATTTTTATGTACATATACATACTCGTATGTATATTAAATGTACTGTCTTTTGTTGTAAGTTTATTTAGAATTTACTCGCTTTTTTTAAACATTATAATTTAATTTTTGATTTTATTTTACTGATTATTCAGTAAGGTAATAATAAGTATAAAAAATTGGTCTCCTTCGTGTCTTCTCCATTCTACGTGACATTGGCGAAGTAATATGTGTTCAACTGGCACGCGTAGAAACCAATTTACAAGAGTATTGAATTGAATTGATATTGAAAATGCGAAAGTTGGTGTGTGAATGTCTGTTACTTCTTTACACTGAAACGGCTGGACGGATTTGGATGGTAGTACAAAAATAGACTATGACCCGTATTAACACAAGGGTTACTGTTAGGCACCAAGGAAAGAGAGATTACCACCCCCCCCCCTTCCCCCACCAACATGCGTTAAATTAGTAGTAAATGTGGTGGTGGGGGAGGAAGCTCATTAGCGTCCGGCAATCCAAAAATCCGTCCGGAAGCCAAGAAACGCACTGGGAGTCGATATCGATACTTATATTTATAATATGTATGTATTTAAAGATATATGGGTATGTGTAGTGTATCAACTATCTGGTATCCATAACACAAGCCTCGTAGCTTACTATGGAACTAGATGGTGCTGTGTATTAATGTCCCAACATATTTATTATTTATTTATTTATCAACTTCGGTGGGCGGTGTGCCACGCATGAATGCATTACTATGCCTAGATTAAAAAAAAATGAGAGAAATCGCGATTTCGTTATATTTTTATGCACTATACCAACGAATAATTTTTATTTTTTACGCACTTTTATTTGTTTTAACGACCTCATTTTTCCCAGAGACGTGATCGTTAGTATTTAGTACCCAACGCTTTGTCTTAACAAGTACTAACATTTATATAATCAACTTGCGACCTTCCCTCGCCTAGACCCTAATGACGTGAATTACAGCCATAGAAAACTTAAGATATCGGAATAAAATTGGACTACTTCTTTTATATAAACGGCTTGACCGATTCGGATGAAATTCAGTAAATAGATAGTCTATCTGAAATAACAAACTCAAAGGTTACTGTTAGGTATTTAATTTACACATAGGGCATAACCGAGAAAAAACGTGGGTAAGTCATTAGTTTACCTTGTAGGTAGGTATATTCTAAAGAAATATCCATAGCGTTTTATCGTGTGAACGAAAAATGAATTTATTTCCGGTATTAATTATAATTTCATACCCGCAATTTTATATCGACTCAGTATCGCATTTAGAGAGTGCAGTAGGAACCGGGTTTTTTTTTTTGTAAAATCGTGTTTATTTCGAAAATTATGCGGGTTTTTTTAATCAAGACACTTATATCACTAAACTCAAAAAGCCTTATCTAAATACAAAATTTGATCGAAATAAATTTATAATATATTAACGACTCACCTCCGCTTCGCTTTGGGTTCGTCGTATATTTTCCAGGATATAAAGTAACCTATGTACTATTCCAGACTATAATCTATCTTTGTGCCAAATTTCATCCACATCTGTTCTGACGCGAAAGAGTAACAAACATACATCCATCCATCCTCACAAACATTCACATTTATAATATTAGTATGGACACAAGAATTGCTCGTTTAATTTAAAAAGATGATAATTAACATACTCGTATATAACTGGCATTCATTTTAAATTTTTGCATTAATTTTTATCATGCCATTTCCAACTACACTAATCTATGACAATTAACAAGCAATATTAAATGTTGATGTATAAATATCAGAAGTGCTATACAAATATTTTCTTTTTAGAAGAATGTTTATTTTTACAACCATATTGTGACCCCATAAAGTGCCTATTAGTAAAGCGCCACTCCGTCTAATGAGGCAGCTTTTTAGAGCATAAAGGTTGAGTTGTTGGTCATTAGCGTCCTCAAAAATTTTTGCGATATTGTTTTGCAAAACTCTTGATAGAATTAATAAGATGACTAGATCTCCTTGACCTAACCCATATATTTCTAAGATATTCTTAAATCTTCTTAGATAAGCCTTTTATCCTATAAAGTAAATTACTGATTATATTTTCAAAGATGATCTTTCAGTCATAATATTTAAATTTAGATTTAAACAGCACTATTTATCAAGTCAGACATAAATTATAGAATATAAGTATGTACATATATGTGAGTCGCTAGTAAGTAAATAAATGCAAATAAATGAAAATAGTTAACGGATTTTTTATAAAAAATATTAAAAAATTGAGGAATATATGTTATGCTATTATTATTTCAAGATGAAGAGAACTAATTCTTAAAAAAAAAAAAAAAAACAAAAAATATAGCTTTATTTTTATTATTTATATTTTATTCTCAAAAATTTTATACTACATTAATATATATATATATATATATATATATATATATACATATAAAATGTCCTTATTTCTAAAGAAAGTAATCGATCTGATGAACTAAAAATAATGCTAATATTTTTGACATAAACATTTATTTTTGGTAGACTCCATCTATATAATTCTTTAGTGAAAGTTGCTTTCATACAAACTTTCGATCTCTTTTTCCCTTTTAAGGGTTCACTATCCAAAATTATGTTTCGATGTAAATGAACTTGAAGATAAGTAACTATCTACTATATAGGTTATTTAGTTTGTAAAAATGAATACATACCTTACTGCTTAAAAGTTTCATTCCTTTATAGATATGTATGAAAAACATGCGTGGGTTGAACGTAAAAAGGTATTGATATTCATTTAACTGTTAATAATATTTATACGTACTAGTATATACCATTCAGTCGTATGTATATAAACAAATGATTTTATTTAAGTACTAGCGGCTCGCCTCTAGACAAACAAAAACAAATCTAACCCACGGAAACCGCACATTTTTCATTCAACAACCATTCATCATCAACTATATTATTGTAAAGTTTCATTAAAATCCAATCAGTACTTTTTGTGTACTAAGCTGTATAAGTTACTATAGTTTTTTAACTATCCCACGGGAACTCTTTAATTTTCCGGGATGAAACGTGTTTAAGATGTTGACCGGGGATATAAGGTACCACCATGCAAAATTTCAAACAAATCGGTCCAACAGAACTTTGCTTACATTTTCAAAAAGAAAGCTGCTTTTTTGCAATTTCAGATTGTATAAAAAATTTAAACTTATGCTTAGCTCCTTTAACTTTCTAATTTTTCTATTTCAATCTGATTCAAACAGTCTTAAAGTTTACATTGAAATAATTAGAGTTTACTTAAGAACTATAATTGAAGTTTTATATAAAGTTCATTAAAAAAAATTAAATTTTTATGTAAATAAAGAAAACTCAACAAATAATAAAACTTTTATTTAAATTAAAATTTGCTTATAAAATCTATACATATAATAAAATTGTAACTAAGTCGAATCTGTAAATTAAATATTTTTTGGAAAATCTTATTGAAATAGTCATTATTATCGATACCGAGGTCAAATCTATAGTTTTTAGAATTTTTGTCTGTCTGTCTATCTGTCTGTTACCGCATCACGGAAAAATCGAGTAATCGGTGAACATACGTAAAAAAAAGATTCTGACGAATTGAGAAGCTCCCTCCTCTTTGGAATTGGAAGTCGGTTGAAAATTTCACTAACTGTAAGTAAGTATCACTATGCGTGCAAACTGCATTTCATGTGAAAAACTATTTAAATTAATGTATAATGTATAGACGCATACACACTCATGCTTATAGATTTCTTCGTTACTACTCCATCGTAAAAAAAGAATATATAATAAAAACTGGAAAAACGTAAGTTAACTCTAAGTTAGCTCTAAGGGTTTAAAACCTATTCAAGGTTTGCGTCGTTGCTGGTTAGTGGTTAGCATGTACGGCCTCAGCCCGAGAGGTACTGGGTTCGAGTCTGGGTAAGGTTTAAAAAAAGTTATTGGATTTTTTCTATCACAAAATACTCAGTAGAAGCCCAGGTTGGGAAGTTGACGATGTTTACACACTCGTGGTTCTGAAAGTTCGTTAAGCTGACGGTAGATCTTATATCTCACTGATCGTATTGAGTTGTTGTACTACTGGAACGTAAGAGCGAAAGGAATAACAATAATAGGCCCATGTCCACAAGTGGACGTATTTCAACTAAAACGATTTGGCTAGTCTCAGTGAGTTTAGCCGTCGTAATCGAAATTGTTTAGGAATACATCAAATAAAATCCTAACTAATTAGTTTAATTTTAACACAAACAATACAACATAATGTATACATGTGTCACGCAATTGACCGATTTCTTTGAAGCCTCTCTCACAGTATTTTTTTCAACAACTAATATGTTGGGACATTAACACACAGCACCATCTAGTTCCATGGTAAGCTACGAGGCTTGTGTTATAGATACCAGATAGTTGATACACTACACGTATATGTATAACTTTTTTTAAATACATGCATATTATAAATATAAACACCCATGACTGGAGTGCAAACATTCGTGCACATCACACAAATGAATGCCGCCTAGCGGGACTCGAACCCGCGACTGTTGGCACAGCAAGTAGGGTCACACTACAAACTAAGCCAAACGTGTCGTCTAAACTAAACTAAGTACACAATTTGCCTTATATAGCACTATTTATTAATACCATTTTATTTTATCGGTGTAGTTAAAATAATGCAAGCAGCACAAATGTCAATATTGTCAATTCAACATTTAATTGGGCTTGTGAAATGCAGCATAGTTGTGAGGGACACTTAGGAAATTGTAAATATAATTATTTTATAACTAAAAGAAAACCGATCTCAAAATATATTTTAAAGTATAATTTTTCACAATTTCTGCCTTCGAGGTTTTTGAAAATTGTATTAAATATAACTAAAATTTTGTTTACATTTGGCATATATAATATTTTAATATTCTTTTCATTGATACCAGCCAATAAAATGACGCTCAGCCTTAGCTTAGTTTAGCTTAGATCGAAGTTATTTGCTACGACCTGTACAGTATCGTTAATCACTTAATGAGTTTTTGGTCAGAATCATCATTTATATAATACTATAATTCACATAATAGATATTGCTAAAAATACTGTTATATTAGCGTAGACATTGTTATAACTAAAGAATATTGAAATATTGTACAAGTACCTATACGTAGAAACACGATTTCACTTTCCATATCAGATTGGATAACAACTCGACATGATAAAATAACCCCATAGTTAAACTTGACCCGAGCCGGTACTCAAACCTAGGAACACCGAATTTGCACATGTAAGCCACTAGATGACTAGACCAACGAAGCTGTTTTAGTTGATAGATAAGGTAAGGATGTAAACAATGCTCGTCATACAACGACATTATTTTTTAAAATTTTGAATGAATTGCCATAAACAAATAATAATTAATTATCATAATAATATATTACATAAGATTTCTGCTAATATTTGAGTGACTCTTCCTTCCCGCCCACAAAATATAT